TGAATTAAACTACTTCTTTATTATGTAAATATTGCGTGTCTTAAATAGTGCTCGTGTTCGCGCGCTGGCGGTTCATTTTTTCACAACTTTCGTCTTGTTCGAATGAACTTGTTGTGATCTGACCGTGTTGTTTATTGTCGCGATGGAGTTTAGTGTTGGCGATTCTGTCGAAGCTGTCGATTAGTGCTTGGGTTTGATCCGAGGTTGATGTCTTTGACATGTTGCCCAACACACCGGAATGCGTAGCAATTATTAGAAATCGATCAAGCAGATTCCCGGGAGAGTTTATTTCATCTGTTAACAAAAGAAAAATATCTCACCTACATCAAAGAAGTTGCGCTCTTCACGATCTTCTGAAGCATGCCGGCATGTCGGCAAACTCATCGGAATGAATAAGTAATGAGAAAGAACAATAGCCTGAATATATGAATACTTAACAACCTCAATTTTTGAGGTTCACGTTTAATCCGCTATGGAGTTGTCATGCTGCATTCTGCATTTGTTTTGGGGTATTCTGAAGTTGCTCCCAACTTTGCACAATACAACACAACAATGACCTTGGCAATTTTATAACACGCCTCTTCAAGTAAAATTTGCTTTCGATTTGTACATGGAGCCGGAAATCTGTTGCTAAAGGATTCACAATCATTCGGTACTGGGCTTATTAACTGCGTGAAGCGATAACGATTTATATTTTACGAGGTAAGAATTCAAATTTAAAAAAGTAATTCATGTGTTCAAGCTTGTATTCTGTTAGTAATATACTTTATAAACGCCATTCTCACAATCTAGAAGCTGACAAACACAAGTAACCTAGTGAGCTGGGTTGTACAACATAAGCTAGCGTGTTAAGGAAACAAAGGAACTTAGCGTATTAAAAAGAAAAAAATCTAGCGTGTTATAGAAACAAAGTTCTACCGTGTTAGCTAGACACGAACAATGGCTACTGACAAGCTTTCCAGAATCAATTTTTTTATGCGTATATCTGCACGGTAAGCGTGTCATGCCGTTAGCGTGCGAGCTTGTCATAAAGTTCCGTATGCATGCATTCACCTTAGCGTTGAGATACGGTTTTTAGTGATTTATATTCTAATGATGCGTACATCAATCAATACTTTCAAAGCTCCTTAAGAAATTGGAGTGGCTTCCTTTTTATGACAAAGTCAAGTTAAATAAGAGCGTTTTAGTTTTAAAGCGTTTATTAGGAAGCTGTCCTGCATATATGTACGATATGCTTAAATTTAATGCAGACCTACACTCACGAACTGGTCGTTATAGTAAATTAAATTTTCGCCTACCCTCGTTTCAATCGCGAAACCGAGGGAGGGAGGACCTTTAGCTTATCTGCAATAAGGCTGTGGAACCAGCTACCTACTAACCTAAAAAATAGGCGACAACAGTTGCTTCTTTCAGAAAGGCCCTTCACAGACATTTCTAACGAGCTACGATGGAGTAGAACATTTTAGTCCGAATGCGATTAGTAAATTAAATCTCGCCTGCCCTCGTTTCAATCGCGAAACCGAGGCAACCCAAGCGGCATATTGTATTTTGACCCGACCCATGTGGCATATTTTATTTCATATAGTTTTTAGCTTGCATTCTTATAGACCTGTTTTATAATCTTCGAATTAATTTTACATACATTTTAACTCTAATTATGGTACTTTTAGGATCGAGAGCCACCAGTTCATCAGTTGAATTACTGTCATGTGTTACCCCCCTTAAATAAAGTTATTATTAGTATTATTATTATTATTATTATTATTAGTAGTAGTATTAGTATTAGTATTATTATTATATTAAATCATTTCAGTTGGATAGTGAGCTGGTTCCAGCTCGTGAAGTCAATAATAAGGTTATGTCAGGGTTGCTGCATTTTCTGCGTCAGGGTAATTTTAGGGGATTACATCGGTTCCCAGTATTTGTTTCCGCGTTTGCTCGCCTGATGAGGGAGTCGTTAGTAAGAACACTGAATTTAATATGTAATTTTTACAGGATTACTGATACCTCTTTCAAGCATTAATATTGCAATTGCGAGTGTTCGAGTAATGTGGATCATAGTGATGGATCAGGTGGGGCATCTTTGGTGTTTCGGGTGGAACTCACAAAAATTTTGGCTTCTTTTTCAGCTCCTAACATTCGTGAAAAGGAAGGAAACGAGATAAAAGTCATCGAGGTGACCAGCGGAAAGGATGTTAAACTCACTTGCCAGATCAGAACCGCTGGTCAGACCTCAAAACCAAGGTATTACTGGCTCAAAGACAATCAGACGCTCGGTCCATCGAGTCATAATCGTCTGAGGTTAAAACTCTACAGATACCTAAAGATAAAAAGAGCTAAGAAAGAGGACACCGGCTTCTACACCTGTGTCGCAGTAAATGACTGTGGCAAGAATCATTTTACAATGCACCTATTTGTCAGAAGTAAGTAAACATTTGCAACCATTTGAGTTTTTTTAAAAGTACAAGTACGCACGTAATTTATAGCGATATCCTGGGGAGCAAAGTTCTTTTATACTAGTTGTGTGCGACAAACTGAGGTGATGTCAGTTTAAGTAGGAGTTGCTAAGGTAGGCAAATAAGGAGGGAAAAGATGGTAATTTCATGCTTGCTATCACAAAAAGTTATTTCCGACGAAGGTGCAATGTTTCTTTTATCATTGCTTAAAGTATTGAACTGAGACAGCTGGGAGTTCAAAATCCTGTCAGGACGTGAATAGAAAGATTCAGATGTGTGTGGCCTCAGATAATCTGCATTACAAAAGCATTTTACATCTAGATAATTTCTTGTGTTTTTCTCTTTGAGGTCCAACACTGAATCCCAATAAAATTACAGTAGGAGTTAAGACAGATGTACTTTCATTTCTAATCGGAAGAAATTAGTGAAAGATGAATACAGAAGCAGTTTAGTTGATACAGGAGCCGATATTAATGTTCTTTGAAATAGAGAAAAGCAACCTTCCTCTGGAAGACAGTCTCAATGGGGTGATGGCTTTTACGGCTAACGTAGCGTTACGGCTAATTTTGGCCAATCTACGGCTAACGGCTAAATTTTTGGCCGTTGTAAGGCTGTCGGATAACTCCATTAAGACCCTCTGAGAAGAAAACTGATGATGAAAAAAAATTATCAAGAAATTGTAATCTCTTGAAAAAACATTGATGAAGTG